CTCTCTCGTTTCCCATCCTACAATAAATCTATCCATTCCTACTCATGGAGCAACAATGCAGATCTATCTGAAAGAGGCTAAACGAACAGCATCAAATGGAAAGAGTGAAGGCATTTTGCTGAGAAACTCTGAAAGGAAGGGAGATTTCTTAAGCAGATGTCTTTTGTCGACTAGCTGGAAAGAATCTGAGCAGGCTAGTGGGACGTAACTCTTTCAGAGGAACAATTTGTCAGGCTGCCTTTTTGACCTCAAACAGCAAGTAAAAGCCTTGACCGCAAACACGTACAAGCAGTCCCTCGAATGCATCTTCTAATAAACAGAAGAGCGCACAGACAAATGCCGCTAACCCCAAACACGCATCTCCACTGGCCTGGCTGGGCTCCAGAGGCAAGAGCTCAACAACTAGACGCGTGTGGCTTCTATAAATACATCCACAAGTTGGATGTGAACATGCGACTGGGTCGAGAGCTTGGCCAAGGAGCTCTACCGCCGTCATGGGACACAGCTGATGTTTGCTGAACAGGCCAAGCGGATGAGAAAAATGGGAGCAGAGCGAACAGAGATCGGACAATAGGCTTGTGCAACAGCAAATAAGTCATATAAAATAAGTAGATAATTTCTGCAGGACTAGCAACATCAACTTGTGACAAAAATGAATTCATCTGAATAAATAATGTGGGCTGGGAAAAATATATATTTAAGGGGTCCTATTATGCTGTTTTAAGAAGTCTTGATTCTGTTTTGGGGGTGTACTAGAACATGTTCTCATGCTTGGTGGTTCGAAAAACGCATTATTTTTCACATAATTTACTTTATTACAATATCTTTCTCCCCAGCCCTGGCACAAACAGCTCGATTAGCTTCGGATTTGATGAAGGCCCGCCTTCCGAAAAACGAAATGTGTTGTGATTGGTTAACTGTCCCAGTGCGTTGTGATAGGCGAACAGCTTAAATGGTGTTTCAGTACTGCCACGCCCCTTGCCAAAGCAGCAAGTTCCGTCTGCTCCGGTTTAGTTAAGGATGGCATCAATATTGCCATATCAATATGAGCCGGTTTCAGACCCCAAGAATATTGAGCAAGAGGATTGCGCAGAACCTTTGCACACACTGATATGGACGGACATGGCGAAAACTTGAGGCTACAGCAGCTATTCTTCGTTTTCTCTGATGCACTAACACTGCAGCAGCACTTCTTCGTCGTCGTCTTGTCTGATGCACTCAACCAAGTGTTCTAATCATGACCTCGCCCCTCCCCACTCCCCAACCATTTGAATTTCCTTAGGCGGGAATTATTTTAATGATATTCTAATGTGCCCCTTTGTGACATCACTAAACCCCGGAAAACAATGCTGTAGTCCAAACGAGCCATTCGTTGGTAGTTCTTGAAAAGGGATTTTTTTGAAAACGAAATATAACTTTGAGAGTTGTAACGTTGTAGATCTTTTTTATGCCCAAACATACACACTACACACTGACATTGACACTGCTTAAAAGGAACCCCTTTAAATATTTCCATTTACATACTTCCCTTTTTACATATACATTTTTCTACATTATTTACATATACATACATGTGTGTTTGTGTGTGTGTGAATGCATGTGTGTGTACATATACACATACACCCAGCATGTCATGGCACCTTTAATTAATCATTAAAAAAATAAAAAGTACATTTTAAAACAATGAGTGTATTATATGTATTAAATTATGTAAATAAATTAATTTATAATATTTTATACGTGTGAATTAATAATAAATATATTTTAAATTGTATAAATTTTATAAATATTATATGTATATAATAAAGTATATCTATATATTAGTATATTAATAATAAACATATTATATAAGTATATTAATATATTTATAATACGAACAGTATATATACACACACGATACACATATATATATATATATATATATATATATAAAATATCAAATTTCAATGTATGATTTAAAAATACATATTATAATAAAACAACATAAAAACAGCAAATTTCAATATGTAAGTGTATTATATGTATTCAATTCTATATATAAATATATGAGTGCATGCATACACAAATAAGTTAATTTATACATTTACATAATTACATAATTGCATAACATAATATTTTAATGCATATTACAAATGTGCTTTTATTAATGTACTTTATAATAAAATATAATAATAAATATTAATAAATTTCCAAAATAATAATACAGGCCATTTAATAACAGTTTTTTTGGGGGGGCCACTAGCTGATCCGATTAACGGACTAGTCAATTATTAAACAAGCAGTCAACAATCCCTGAGCCATCCCTAACACAGAGGGGTTAGAGTAAAGAAATAAGGTTCAGTCATTAATGCGTCTAGCCACAGGGTGGATTTAGAGACACTGTCTGCCAGCAGCTGAGACTCAAGGTGTGTGGTCCCTCATCCCTGCCAATGTTTATGGAGCTCTCTGCCATTTCCTTGTGCTCGCATTAAACGTAAGCGTTATTCAGCGAGCAGTTCCACGTTAAACAAGGAGAGCCGTAAATATATTTTAAAGCCCCAAAAACGGCAGATGCCCACAGCACACACCTTGTTTCCACGCGAGTTGGTTTAACAGGTCCTGCCAGCAACGGAGGCCGCGGGGAAGCGTTCGGCGCGAGAGCCATCTGCTTCACGGATGCCTTCCGTTAAACGATTTTTATAGCCAGTGATCCATACACGGTCAAACATCGCATTCATATGGTGGTAGGAAATCCCCTCCGTCAACAAGACCATCAATATCCCTCTTCATTAATATAATAAACACCAGACGTGCCGAGCATCAGATTACTAACTACACGACCGCTTGGCTCTGAACCCAGGATGGCAGTTCAATACCGGTACGCTATGGAGCCTTTTAACTAAATTAAGAGAATGCAGGTGAACTGTCAAGTTGGTGCACTTGGCTGGCATATACCTAGATGTCAATGTAATAAAAGCTGTCTGGATTTGGTGACACTCAGACTAATGCTGTAGAAACGGAGCAGATGGAGGCAGATGAGACCCGCGAGACCCCTACGGTGCCTGCGCTCATCTCTCTTCTCAAGACAGTCTGCTATTCGTGCAGCATCACCAAAATCCAATCAAAAATCATTAACTGCCCGGGGCACAGTGAATCACAGACAAAATGTAATTGAGGCCTTTGGGCAATAAAAAAATAAAAACCTTTTTTTTGTAAGCTATCGTTAAATCTGATGAACAATGTGGGAATCACTGCCATCACATTTGAAAAGAATACTGTGTGTTAAAGCAGTGCAAATTTAGATTTATTGATATAATATTGTAGTTTTTGTTAATATTTTGAATTAGATTTAATTTTTATATTTTTGTCATTTTGTTTCATGTTTTTAATAATTTTTTAAAAATGTTTACATAGTTTATAGAATTTTTTAGTCTATATCCAATAAAAAAAATTTTTTGAGTAATTTTAGTACTTTAAAGGGGTCCTAGTATGCTCTTTTTCAAAGTCTTGATTTTGTTTTGGGGGTGTACTAGAACAGGCTCTCATACTAGGTTGTTCGAAAAACATTTTTCACATATTTTACATTATTACAACACCTCTCTCCCCAGTCTAGAATGAACGGCTCGAACCGTTCCTGAATCAAATGAAGGCCCGCCTTCTGAAATACAAAATGTGCTATAATTGGTTAGCTGGGCCGGTGTGTGTTGTGATTGGTTAGCTGGGCCGGTGTGTGCTGTGATTGGTTAGCTGGGCCGGTGTGTGCTGTGATTGGTTAGCTGGGCCGGTGTGTGCTGTGATTGGTTAGCTGGGCCAGTGTGTGCTGTGATTGGTTAGCTGGGCCAGTGTGTGTTGTGATTGGCAGCACTCGGCGCCTGGTCGGTAAATGTCACGCCCCTTACCATAGCCGCCTGCGAGCTTCAGTGTAAATATTGCATCAAAATCAAATAAATTTGAGCGCGACTTAAACCCGGATGATTGTAACCACTCTAAGTTTGTCTGCCTTAGGAAAGCTAGCGTGTCTCCGACATAGTGATAACACTCGTTGCATTCTCTAGTGCAGCTCAACCAGGTCTCGTCCCATTCGTCGATATTTGTGATATCACAAATCCTGGAAAATATGCGTTGTAGTCCAAACGAGTCGTTCGTTGTAGTTTTTGAAAAGTGATTTCTGTTCAATAAAATCTCCTTTTGAAGTAGACTTTGAACTTTGTAACTTTGCAGATCTTTTTTATGCTCAAACAGCAACATTACAGACTAACTAAAGTTGAAAAAGAGAAAAAGCATAATAGGACCCCTTTTAAGGTAAACTAACTGAAAATAATTTTTGTAAAAAAAAATTATTTCATTTTAAGCTATAATAACACTGGGTTAAATACAATTTGAGTATCACTTGACAACCACAGAAAATAATGTTATAAAAACTAAACTAAGTAAAACAACATTAAAAAGACATTTATGTGCATTTACACATTTTTGTTCATTTTTACAAACTAAGTTTTCTGTAAATTATTTTTCAATTATTTTCTGTGATTTCATTTGGAATATTCTGAAAAAACAAAAGGCTTTGCCTACATGGCAAAAAAAAGCACAGAGCATCATTGTGACGTGTGGAGAGATAATACGTGTAAATACGCAATGTGCATTTGCTAAATAACCGAGAAAATAATCACAAATAAAGGAAATGATACAACCACGGAACAAAAACCAGCATAAAAGCCCAGATCTGATTCCCGTCATACAACATTTGGCCACTAACAGTCAAACTAACAGCCCACATGTCATTTCCTCTGAACAAGCACAGGCAAATGTTGTTTTGGGCAAGTGAATCAGTGGAATCAGCAGCTGTAAGCCTCAGCTCTCAAGAGATTATATCACATTATGTGCATGTTTTTATAAGTGATAGATCTAGTAATCATGAGTTACCTTAAAGAATATCTCACCAGGTTGAGGGAAGCATTGATAGAAGCTTTTTCCGAGATTAAACCACGAAAAATATTAAATAATCTTTAAACAGTACTTACTCTGAACGCCGCCGAGCTTCCATGCCATCTGGTAAGAAGAGCTTGATGGTCGACACTATACAGCCATGAGTGACTAAAACAACAAGAGAAACAAATTAAGGATGTATGACAACAGTGGTTACACAAAATAGTAGGGATGCACCGATATGAAAATTTTGGCCGATACCGATAACAGAAAAAATGAGCCGATATGGGCCGATACCGATATGGTGGCCGATATATCGTGCATCCCTACAAAATAGCATTATTTTCATAACAAGAAGAATTTAAACAAAGCTACAGGTTATCCTAAGCATAAACAGGTCATAAAAATGTACTAATATGAGGCTGTCTAAGATGCCTTGATCATCAAAAATATCCAGAGACTGATAAGAATTCCTGACGTTCTGATGAGACGCAACCAACTTGTGCCACAACAACGCAAAGACTTAAATGCACAACACTCAAATGTGACCGGAACCAAGTTTCCAAAGAAACTGGAACCTAATTTCAATACCTCACCAGTTAAAATACAGGTCTTCATGTTCATGTGTACTTTTGTTTTGTTATGAAGTAATGTTTGCTTTCATTCGTTCTAAAGGGTAAGTTACTTTGCATTTGTATCTGATTGTGAAAGCGTCCCATTGCATGTATTTGAGTTACGACACATCCAGAGCAGCAACCAGCCAGCGCTCTTGGGTTTCAAAAGCCATCTCTGCATTACAGTATCAAGTGTAGTATGTAACGGCTGCATTTGTGTAAAAGTGATTCTAGACCTATAACACAAAAAATGTAAACATGCAATTGTGTCCTATATTACAATAACAAAAAAAACCAGGGTCCCAAATTAACACTCATCAGCACCAAAAATATTAACAAATGGTTTATGACATTATGTAAGTGACATTATTTTATAAATATACATATATAAAAATCATTTTATATATATTTATTTATAAACAATTATTATATATTTAAGATTTTATACATTTATATATTTAAGATTTATTAAATATAATATTTAAATATATTTTTTTAAATAATTTAATTTATAAAAAATAGTATATTTATATTAAATATTCAATATATTGTGTATTTTTTATAATTATAAAGTGGTTAAAATACAATATTTAATATTATGTATGAATAAAATATATTGTAGTACATATCATACATAACATATTAAATATATATATTGATTTAAAAAAAATAAAAAGTATAAAATTCTATTATAAATTTATATTTAATTATTTAAAAAAAAATCTAAATCAATACATATTTATATTTAATTATAACAAATAATATGTACATATTAGGGCTGGACGATATGGCCAAAATTTATATCACGATATATTTCTTAATTTCGGTCGATACGATATAATCGAATCCGATATCGATATGAACACTATTAAAAAACCTCATAAAAACGTCCAAGAACGGCCACAACAGATGTCTGTACCTACAAACTCATGAAAAATGTATTTGCCAACTCTATGTATTATATATAAAAATGATAAAAAATAAAAATTATGCAGAGTTTTATATCCAGAAAGGAACATTTATATTTACACATCCACACCTGCATTACAGACAAATGCAAAGATGGATCATGTTTCATTATTGCGGCCAACACTGACTGGCTTTCCTCACCTTTCCGCGTGTTCTCCGTCACATCCACCCCAAACTGAATGATGTCACCGGAGAGCACCTCACAGGGAGGGCTCTCCTCCGACCCCCGGCTCAGACGCTGGCTGTTGATGAAGGTGCCATTGCTGCTTTTGGTGTCCTGGAGATAGAACTGTGAAGAGAGAGGAGACGGAAAGATTACCGATGCGTCAAATACAGCACTACACTGAAGAGTGCAGAACAAATGTCACAGCTGAAAGACAGCGATTGTTAAAAGGAGGAAGTACTCAAGATAATCTTGCATTGACCAAGAGGAGAAACAATCAGACTACATTTAATGCAGTTTATAGAGGTCAACAGTTTCATTGTTACAATACAGGTTATAACACATTCTCAATGCAGAAGAGAAACATAAAACCTATAATTTGACTAGACTGGTAAAATTGACTAATTTCAGTTTTGTTCTTGTTTAAAAAAAAAATAGTATAACATTTTTAAATAAGATTTTATTAAAATGAAGCCAATATAAAAATAAAATACAAATATTAGATGGAAAAACTCAAAATATGTTGCTTCAAAAATGTTGCCTTCACTATACAGAACTATAAAAAAATAAAATAAAAAGACAAAAGCACAGAAGTAAAACTAAAATGAACACTGAAAACAAAAATAAAAGATATTGCAAAATATTAACAAGTACTATAAAATTAGAACTGTTGCTTTTAACTGAAATAAGTTTAAGTAAAGAAATTGCTGATACTAAAAAGAAAAAAAGTATGCATAAATACATTTTAATAAACAAAGAAAAAGGACAGAAGCACATAATAAAATTACTAAAATTAAAATGAAGGTTGAAAACTTAATGCAGTTTATAGAGGTCAACAGTTTCATTGTTACAATACAGGTTATAACACATTCTCAATGCAGAAGAGAAACATAAAACCTATAATTTGACTAGACTGGTAACTAGACACCTCAGTTTTGTTATCGTTTACTATAACTATTAAAAATAGTTTCAAACAGGCAGTAGTGAAACATAAAAAAAACTATAATTTAACTAGACTGGAAAAATTTACTAATTTCAGTTTTGTTCTTGTTTAAAAAAAAATAGTATAACATTTTTAAATAAGATTTTATTAAAATGAAGCCAATATAAAAATAAAATACAAATATTAGATGGAAAAACTCAAAATATGTTGCTTCAAAAATGTTGCCTTCACTATACAGAACTATAAAAAAATAAAATAAAAAGACAAAAGCACAGAAGTAAAACTAAAATGAACACTGAAAACAAAAATAAAAGATATTGCAAAATATTAACAAGTACTATAAAATTAGAACTGTTGCTTTTAACTGAAATAAGTTTAAGTAAAGAAATTGCTGATACTAAAAAGAAAAAAAGTATGCATAAATACATTTTAATAAACAAAGAAAAAGGACAGAAGCACATAATAAAATTACTAAAATTAAAATGAAGGTTGAAAACAAAAAATTGTTCATTGAAAATATTACAACAAATACATAAAATTAGAACTGTTGTCTTTAACTGAAAAGTTCAAGTGCTAAAATTACTAAAACTTAAATGAATGCTTTAAAGAAGTATTCAAAAAACTAATAATAATTACAATAGTACAGAGTAAACATACTAAAACTTAAATTAAAATAAAAATTACAATTAAAAAAAAGAAAAATATTCATAAATAAATACTATAATAGTAAATAAATAAGGCTTAAATAAAACCAGCACCCATCTGACATATGTATTGGCTTCCTATTATGATCAAACATCACTAATTAAACGTTATCTGACTGAAAGGCAATCAAAAGCAACCTCTACTCATACAAGTTACTGCTGAAAATAACCAATACTGTCCTTAAGTGTTGACCAGGCAAGCTCTCAACTCATTTACTCGCCATGTTCAACATCCCTGATCGGTTTAGTTACACACCTAATAACAAACAGCCATCAAGGGCGCCAGAGAACTGGCTTTGGAGCTGTCATGAATTGTAATTGTTTCATGTACGCTGTTGAACTCCCTTCATTCAGAATGAATGCTACAGAATTTACTCTCTCGGCTGGATGAAAAGACTCACTGTCAAAAACGACTACAGTATGAGTGACATTCATTATTTCCGCCCAACGGCAACATCCCACATCATGCGTCACATGTGGGCTTCACTGCTAACAGGTTCACCAGGTTAAGCCACAGGATGAATGCAGTCTTCTTCAATGCAATGAAATCAAGGTTATGACTTGATAAGACCCACAAACCTGACATTTTAATTTACATTATGCAACTGATTGGCCATATGATCAAGCAGGAGTTGAGCGCTATCACATCCTCCATCATAGCAGGAGTGAAATGTGATATGTGTTTGTTTTACGTGTATTTTGGCATGGAGACTGCATGATATTGGTGATGCATCTGTTCATAAGCAACCAGCTCATTTGGAGAAAACACAGATTAGCTCATGTGCATAAAGAATAAGGCTGGTTTAATTCAGAAATACATCTTTATCAAAGCCAAGCAACAGAAACATAATGCATGCAGAAGCAGAACTGCCTCTGGTTCACGGTTTGATGTCACATATAACTGGATGCTACATACGGTCCTTCTACTTTTCTAAGTGACTTTAAAAAAAAACACAGAACTAGTAAGTGTACAAGCAAACGAGAAAGAATGGAGAAGCACAAATGACATAGCATATTCCCTCCTATTTCCTCATGCTAACGGTTGTGCTGACTGTATTCTGAGGTTATTGTGGTCGCAGATCTCTTTTTTTTTTTATTTGTTAAATTTTCTAAAAGCCCATAATGTTAATGTCACTTATGCATAAGCAGGAACTGAGTAAAAATGAGATTAACAAAACTTGATAGGCAGCACTACATGACAGCAACATATAAGCAACAAAAATATTAACAATTATACTTCAATTAGATATTAACAAACAATATCTACTGATATGTTAAGGATTATTTAATAAACATTAAAATACAGGCACAATTTAAAAAATACATGTGAATTAGATATGCACTATTGCAGGGATTCCCAAACATTTTTGATAGCGAAACCCCTTTGACATTAAACCCTGATATTTAAGTCAATTAATAGTTCAATAATTTAACAACACTTTCACATGTTCAGGCTTCTCTGATGTTGGTTAAGTCACATGCAGGGGAACAAATACAAAAATTTATTATTTTGAAAATTTAATTTAATTTATTTACATATTAGTGCTGCATTATGTGGTCAGAAAATTATACTTTTTCATATATCATGGTTTCAACTGCAATATAATAAACATTCAGGCAAAAAGGCCACAATATTATCATCATTAATAATAATATTATTAATAATAATACAATTATTTTATTACAAATATTTTTACTCTACAATTATTTATGAATTATTTTATATTTTTATACTTTAATAAGAAATTCGTATTTTATCATTTTATTTTGCACCAGTTTAAAACAATACTGTCAGACGAACTTCAATCTACTTTACAACTGTTCTCTCATTTTTTTCACTCAGCCTTACTTGGTAGTGTAAAATACTTAATGTGTGATTCCTAAACTATCATTATAAAGTCAAATGGTAGCAGTTTAGGGAGAAACTTTTGCTCGCCTTCATTTATCAACAGCTGGCGTGTTAAATATTGATTAAATATGCTAGGACACGGCACTAATTCTCCTGCATGTGTCACAGCGACCGTCAAGTGGCTACTGCACAGGGGGTGAGTGCAATACAGAGAGAGAATGAATGAGCGAGAAAGAGAGAGGGCTGATTTTTCTGTCAGGGATTCGCCCCCATATCCCATCGTCAAAGAGCACATTAGCATTCCTGAAGAGACACGACGCTGCCACCAGCCTTCTGCCTCTAACACAAATCTGATTTGAACTTATCAGCAGCACATCTCAAACAGGTGCCAGTATTCCTGAGATCAGTGTGAAGGTCATCATTCATCCTATAAGAAATCTCTTTATATTCTACCTAACGGAGTCCATGTGCTGACTGGAACTATTTTGAGTGCAGGTCTTATATAAGCTGTACAGAAAGGCAGTATTACCCTGTGCAAACAAGAGCAGAGAAGATTTGTGCAATTAACACTTCCAACACTGATAATTAAAAGGAATCATGGGAAGGAAGGAGGTGGAACATCAACTTCAGTTCTGCTGGTGGAATAGTTTAAGCAAGACATTTCTGGAGACCGTACGCTCATGCGCACTCGCAGCGCAAACACATAATGCCAGGTTCACATTACTCCGTTTGCAGTGTGTATTTTTTCCACGCTCATGTTAACGAATTAATAAAGCGTGCACACTGTTGCTGTCCGGCAGTGCGTTCAACAAGCGGTGCGTCTGCAGCAGAGCAGAGATCGTTTCCAGACCGAGTCTATTTTTGCTGCGCTACAAGCGCTGAATTAAAGTAACAGCGCATTTTTGCAGTAAATATGTACATGGATTGACACGAAAATGCAGTAATTACACCATATTACTGCATACAATGCATATTCGCACACGCAGCGCAAACACATAATGCCAGGTTCACATTACTCCGTTTGCAGTGCGTATTTTTTCCGCGCTCATGTTAACGGATTAATAAAGCATGCACACTGTTGCTGTCCGGCAGTGTGTTCCACAAGCGGTGCGTCTGCAGCAGAGCAGAGATCGTTTCCAGACCGA